GGCGCCAGGGCGCGTTTCCCCCCTGAAACGGCCCAGAGGTGCAACATCACCGTGTCACACTCTGCGCAACACACACACACACACACACACACACACACACACACACACACACACACATACACACACACACCACAAGTCCCCTCGCTGCCCCCCACTGGGACCCTTCCACGCCAATAATCCATCATGCCTTCTGCCACACCACCTCCCTCCCTGCCTACCCCCCCCCCCAGTCCACCTGAACACGTCCCCGTGGAGGTACTTCCACCCGGACTCATCAAGGTCCTCCCCTGCCTCGCGGTCAGACTCGCGCGTGAACTTTAGGAAGTCGTTCTTGAGCACGCGCTGGGGATGCAAGAGTGTGTGTGTGTGTGAGTGCGTGTGTGAGTCTGCGTGTGTGCATGTGTGTGCGTGTGTGTATGTGCGTGCGCTTGCATGCGCATACACGCGAGTGTGTGGGTGTGGGTGTGTACACGCAGGCTTGTCTGTTGCGGGACGCTCAGTTCCAGGTGACGTGTTGCTGGTGGTGGGATCCTCCAACCCACCCCACCGTCCGCTCCCACTTGAAAGCCTCGTAAATCCCCCGTCCCCCCCCCCCACAAATGGGCGGTGCGCACCAGCAGGATGGTGGCCAGGAAGCCCGTCAGCAGCAGCACCGTGACGCAGCTATTGATGATGCTGAACCAGTGCACCTGCAGAGGCGTGATTCGGGGTGGGGTGGGCAGGGGGGCAAAGAGGGATGGGCGTCAAGTCTAGCTGGTGGTGAAGGGGTGGAAGGGCGTGCAAACGAGGAATTTGTGGCGGGGTTGCGGCCCACCGCGGGTCGTTGGGTTGAAAAGCCCAGCTGAGCAGCCCCACAGCACACCCGCAAAGCATCGCACGCGCGTGTGCGCGTGCACACGCATGCATTCACGTCGCCCCGATCCACAAACATACAAGATGACATACTCTCATGCGCGCGCGCACACACACACACACACACACACACACACACACACACACACACACACATACACATATGTTTACGCACACACACTCGCCCCGACCTCCCCCCCCCCCCACCTCCAAATGCTGCGGCAGGAACGAGTACCGCGTGTAGCGGTCCATCCGGTCCTCAAACGTCGCGTTGGTGGGCGCCCACTTGACGCTGTAGCTGAAGCGCACAGCCAGCTCGCTGCCCTGACTGATGTCGACGGTCTTGTTGGGGTCCACAGAGACAGTCGACACGTTGAGCTCGATGACCTGGCGGTGGTTGGCGATTGGGAGTCAGTTGTGGGCGGCCTTCGCAGCCGGAGGGCGCGGAGGCGGCCGCCGCTGGTGTAAGCGCCGGCCAACAAAGCGTCGAGAGCGGTGGCGACAGGGGCGCGGCTCGAGCTGCTGCTTAGGGGTGGCGGCCCCTGGCCGGCCTGTCCTGATTCGCCAACATCCTCCCTGCTGAGCGCCCCACTCTGGAAATGTGCCCGCCTCACGGCGGCCGCTCTGCCGGCTGCTGTCTTGCGCCGCCCCTTTGACTGTCTTGCGCTGCCGATGGTTTGCTGCAAGGACCCCAGCAGCCACGCGCCACCCCTGGCCCCCCTGCGCGCCGGCCGCCTGCCGGCGGGCCCTTGCTGCTGCTCGCTGTGGCCCCCTCCCCCCTGCAGTGGCCCCGCCAAGCCCCTGGCCCCATTCTTGCCTGGTCCTCGTTGTATGAGATGTCAAAGTGGAAGTGGGTGAACAGGAACACCCTGCTCTCGCTGGGCGCGCCGCCCTTCTGCCGCCGCCCCGGCTCCACCTTGCCGACAAAGCCCCACACTGGCAGGTCGTCGTCAAAAAACATCTGGGGGCCGCCAGGTCGAGGGTCAAGGATCGAGACGCGTTTGCAAGCACAACATCAGCAGGGGACGAGCCCAGGGGTGCCGCGCCCGCGTTGCGGTGGGCTGGGCTGCCTGGGGTGCGGCTGGCGGCGCGGGTACCGTGCTGCCCGCGATACTCCAGGCACGCCCTCCGGCCTCGCATGCGACAGAGGAGCGGCTGCCGCTTCTGTGAGCCCGCAGCATTCCCCCGGAGACCGCCCTCCCTGCCGCCGCCGCCGTCGCCGAGGCCGCCGCCAGCACGGCAAGCAGGCCGGAACCCAACCGCACTCCGGGAAGCCGCGCACAGCCCAGCCGCGCATGCATGGGCGCGCCCACCCGCCCAACTCCCGGCAACCGCCTCCACCCGAGAGCAGCCGGCCGGCCCGGCGGACGGGGCCCCACCTGAAAATAGTAGTCCTGCTTGATTGCCGTGCGGAGCTTTTCGAGGTCCCGCATGCTGAGGGTCTTGGAGCAGAGCTGCACATCTTCGGCATCCTCCCGAAACTTGATCTCGTATGGCGTGCTGACTAGGCGGTCGCCCTCCAGCACCTCCCCCAGGTCCTCTAGGACATACTGCTTGCCCTCCTCCGGCTGGCAGAAGGGGAGCGAGTAAAACTGGTACGTCTCGCTGCGCGGGGGGCGGGCGACGTGGGGGGTCAGGGACGGCGCTCGCCGCGGTGGTTGGGGGCCCAGCAAAATCCAGGGCGCGCGCGGTTGCGCAGCATGTTGGACGGATGCAAAAACTCTTGTTGGGTGGGAGTTCTGATGCCAGTACCACTGATGTGTGATGAAAACTCTGCCACGCCACACATCTCCCGCGCAAGCTGCTAAATGCTCCGCATCCGGCGATCACTGAGGCACCAGATCGCTATGTCGAGGCTTGCAGCATCCTCTGATCGATCCAACTTACGAGGGATTGGCATAAGGTCCCACTTTGTTGGCCAGAAGCGCGACCTCCTCGCCCTTTTCGTAGTGATGCTCCGGCTTGCCCTGAACAGCCGTCAGGGCCAATAGCGCCATGCCAATGAGTGCTCTATACGCTATTCTGTTCCCCATCCTGCCCTTTCCTAAGCGAGATATGATCTGATTGAGCTAAAGTGTGGACTTTGCCCTCACGGAAGCACGCAGGCTCTGCATCACTCAATTATGCTGCTCGGTTGGCAGCAATCAATCCTGCTCTGCCATGGCAAGAACGTGCTGCCAATATTAGTGCTTGCCGTTTTGCACGTCACCCTCTGTCACCCCGCAGCTGCATCCCTGCGTGCTGTCCACCACTGACCAGGCGCAGGCCAATATTACGGGAGCAATGCTGCTGGATGCGATGTTTACAGCGCAAATTCCACCCCAATTCTGGAATCGATTGATACCAGTTGCAGAGCTTACACCAACCACCTCCTCCGTCCGCCTCCGCCGCCCTGGGTAGCACATCTCATCATCTCAGCGTGGCTGGGCCAGGCAGCATCCTCAACTCCTGAGAGATTGATCAGAGTCACTCGGGCAGGAATTTGTTGCTGCCAAGAGGTGAACGGTGTGGTTCTCCACTTCGCATGATTGCGCGCTGGTGCCACCTGTGCCGCGGCCCTCGATCACGCCTGGGGCCCCTGGAGCTGTGGCATGCAACTGCCGTCGTGTCGCGCATGACAGGCAGTGCACCTGATCGGCGCTGAACATTGTAAGCAGGGGCGCACTGGCCTCGAGTATTGGGCGCGCGCCTCGAACAGGGTATCTTGAGGATCAAGGACCCCCACACACCCTGTTTGCGCCCCTCGCCGGCCCCGTGCGCCCTGGTGCCGGTGCAACACCCCCGTCCCCACCCCCGCTTGAAAGCTCTTGTGCATCTGCTGGTCATTGGTCCTGCTGCCCGCCATCTACTGGCTTGCAGCTTTCAATCAAGTGGCCCCCGCCCCGGCCCCAGCGACCTCTGTCCAGACCAGGATCGCTCTCTACTCCGGCGCGCGGTCAAGTTTTCTAACGCGATTCCTCAGGTTATCAGAGGGCGATACGGGCCACTGCTCACAATGTCAGCAGCCTAATACACGGTCAGACTGTCAGACTGACCTGCTATTACTAAACACTCTCCTTTCATCTCACGAAAACGGGCTTGGGAGCAAGGGTGCGGAGGCGCTGCCCATGCTTGCAGTGGGTGCGCGAGTGCGCCTGGCTCAGGTGTGCCGCCAGAGTAGCGGACGGGGAGTTGGGTGGGTGTGCGAGGTGGACGCGGTTGACGCGAGGGTGACAGCACGCGCGCCGCAGTCGGGTTGGTTGGCAGGGAATCAAAGCGGGGTGATGAAGGGCCGTACAACCCAGGAACAGGCAAAACAGGACCTCGGACGCACACCAGGGGAGCATGCACGCACACGGGGTGCCCACGTCGAGGGGTCAACGCCCCCGGCAGCGGCTCCGCCCTGCCGGCGCCAGCTGGCGCTCACCAGGCACGCGCAGCAGGTGCAGGGCCGGCCGGCCGGGAGATGGCTAGCAAGGGTGGCAACGCGGCGTCAGGAGCTTTGCGCTGCGCAATGCGAGCGATCACGGGGGCCGGGGCCAGTAGAAGCGATGGTCAGGAGCTGGGAGAGAAGTCAGGCGCGCAGGGCCAGCCGGCGTCGCAGCGGCCCTGGGGCGTCGTCGGGGTTTGCGCACCATTCTCGGGGCTCTCGCCCCCGCGCGGCGTGGCGCGGCGCGCCGAGCGCATGGTTCAGCGCCTTGTCACCACAGAGGTGGGCGAGAAGGCCCGCCGTTGGCCGTGGCGCGCGCGGTGCGGGGAAAAGGCCGGCGCGGTGCGAGTGCGAACAAGGGGCCGAACGAGCCCAGTGACCCGGCCCGGGTTATGAGCAAAATCGGCGAGCCGCACGCCGGTATTACCGGACCCGACGGGGTGCCGCGCGGCCGCGCCCCGTGGCGCAGCCGCAAATGAGCGGCCGTGCGGCGCGGCAAGCGGGGCGCGGGCGCCCCGGAGGAGGTCTGGCCGGCAATGACGGCGGCGCGCCACGGCGCAGCCCAGCCGACCCATGCAGGCAACACAGGGTGTCAGCACAAACAAGTACAATCACACAGAGCGCAGTGTACGGTTGCGCGCGGGGCGTGTGCGGCGCCGCCGCCGCAACAAAGCAGTGCCCGTGAAACAAGGACAACAGGGGCATGGCGGCGCGCCAGGCCAAGGGCTGGCCCGCCCGCTTGAGGCGCGGTGAGAGATGTTGACTCACAGCGGCTGACGAAAAGAAGAGGTGCCCGCCTTGTTTTTGTGTGCGGGGGATCGGCAAATGGAGCCGCCGCGAGCAGGGACTGACTGCGGCCCCTGGATAATAGAGTTTGGCTGCAGCCGCCCTGCCTCTAATACGTCACCCTGCCTTGAAACCCTCCAGAGCACAAAGCGGCAGTGCGCTCCGCCTGGTGCTGCGGGCTGCAATTACGACACACAAACCCCCTCCCCACAGTTCCTGCCCGATGGCGCGCGCTGGGCACACGCGGTGCGGCGGGGGCGCTGGCGCTGCCACGGCAGCTGTCAGAGGTGCCGAGGGTGGTTCAGCGCCCCGCGGCGCACCTGGGGCGCGCTGCCGCTCAAAATAATACTGATTCTTCGCAGGGTAGCCTCCCAGGCCGCCGCTGCGCCAGCCGCTCGCGCCTCGCGCTGTGCGTCATCAGCCAAACGTGCGCCGTGTTGGAGGCGCGGGGCGCGGCAGCCGCGCTGTCTCACCCGCCAGCCGCGCGCATCAAGCGCCTGCCGCCGGTAGGGTTGAAGGTGTCGGGTCCCAGGGCTGACCCGGCCGTGCGCTGCGCCGCACAACGCCATCCAGCCATGTCCACCCCGCGGGCCCAGACGCGGCGCGCGGCCGCGGCGCGATCAGCCGGCGTGCAGCAGCAGCAGGGCATCCGCCATGTCAGCAAGCTCTGCGTCCAGGCCAGACCTCGCCCGCTGCTGCTTGGACGAGCCCGCGCCCGCGCCCGCGCTTGCGCCTGCGCCCGCGCCGCTCGCCGCCTCGGCGCCGCCGCTGAGCCCGGCCGCGCAGTCCGCATCGCCGCTGCCCATGCCCTCGTCGCCGGTCGCGCAGCCGGCAGAGTCCGCGGGCTCCTCGCTGCTGAGCCGCACGGCCGCGTGC